CTTATATCTCTTTCCCGAAGTCAGCCCTTTTGTAAGGAGGGTATGATAATATTTAGACCTTGTCTGCACAGTAACTTAATAAATGGCTTTAAGAATGCTTTGAGGTTGACAGATAAAAGACAATAAATTCCAAATATTTCTTCCCTTCTAAGTGCCATTTACCATAATAAAATCTGGACTACCAAGATATAAAAGGGTTATGGTGCTGATACCTGAAAAATCATCTGTCATAGTTGGGCATTGCAGTTTTTGCTAAGCAATTGAGTTATTTCCTTGATAAAATCAGCAGGTTCTTTTTAATCACATGAGGCTGGGAAACAACCGTGGGTTCTGGAGAGAAATTTCATCTTCTGCTATCATCACCATTGTGGTCCATGACCAATGTTAAACATGTACTCTATGCGAAAAATTATGCTAGAAGTAGAGGCTGCAAGGATATACGTAATTGTTCGTTTTTAAGAAGTAAAATCTGTTTAGGGAAACACATATGCAAGGAAAGATTAACTAAAAGAAACAGCAAAAGCTTGCTGCAAACAAAAAAGGCATCAGGCAGAAGGGACCAGTACTGGGCTTTGCAGGACAGAAAATAAGAGAACTAGGTAGAGGGTATTTTACACCTGTGAAATGCAGATTTACAAAAGTGGTTTAGGAAATGGTAACTAAGCTACTCATAAGCTGTAAAACATTAAATGGATTTCAGATTTGCCCCTCAACTGTGCCATTTCTTCTTTAATACTGTAATGCCAGGGTCACTAAACAAAGCCTGGTGTGTCCCCAGGGTGTGTCCCCAAGCAACATACTGAAGGTAGGTCTTTTTCCTTTGGAAAGTGGTTCTCAGACCTCCCTAAGAGATTGTTTAAAATACATTTTCCTGTGCACTGCCCCCAGAGATTCTGAACCAACACCTTTGGATAGAGGCCAGGTGCCTGCATATTTAAAATATCTGTTGACTATGATGTGAGTGGCCATACATATCAACATCAAGTGTGATAGGGAGCTTTTTATTTTTTTAAGAATTATTTTATTTTAACTTTATTTATTTATTTGTTTGTTTGTTTGTTTTTAAATATGACCAGAGAGGGACAGAGAAAAAGAGAAAGTGAGAAAGCAAGGCACCAGGTGCAGGACTCGAATCATTGTCTGCCACGTGGGAGTCCAGCACCCTTAGCCACCACACCACCTGCCAGTACCCAATAGGAAGCTAAAAAATAGGAAACGCTGGGACCACCAGATGGCGTGATGGTTATGTTGCTGAACTCCCAAGTAGTTGACCGCAATTCGAGTCCCAAACCCGGCAGCTTGAAACTCATGCCAGCCATGTATGTCTGTGTGTGCCCAAAATCCTGAGAGGAGAATGCAGGAGAAGGAATTGTGGTGTGGCTATTCCTCCTGGGGGGTGATTTCTTGTTGTCTCCCTGGTGAGCGCATGAGCCCTATATCAAAATTCTCTCAAAAAGAAAAAAGAAAAGAAAAGAAATAAAAAAAAGGTCCAACGCCAGTTCTTCTGGGTCAGAATCTACTTTTTAACAAAACTTAATTGTTACCTAACTCAATTCTGAGTACCAAATCAGAACTTCCAAGAGATGGAATTTTACAGGGGTAAGTGTGGAAGGCAAGAGAAATACAAGCTTTGGTATCAGAAACAATCGACCTTCACTTTTATCAGCAAGATCTTAGCCTGCGCTTACTGGTTATTGGAAGTTTTGCCCAGAAGATTTATTTTATTGCTTAGGCATTGAAGGGTAACCAAGGAGACCCAGAACTCATCAAATCCAAAAATAATTTCTAAATGTGTCCAGAAGAGGGAGTAATAGTAGTTTTTCCTAGTCAGGAAAAGCTTCAAAGCTTTCACTTCTGTTGGAATTTGCCCAGGGCATTCTGCAATTTTATTTGCTAAATGTAGCAAGCTTAACTGTGGTTATGAAAGAGAATATTTCTATTGTTCCATGTATATTTGTCCCTCAGTATCCATGGGGGATTGGTTCCAGAGTTCCCACAGATATAAAAATCCTTGGACAATCAAGTCCCTCATATAAAATGGCACAATATTTGAGTATAACTTTGGCACATTTTCCCTTATAATGCAAATCATCTTCAGATTACTTGTAACAACTAATACAATGTAAATATTATGTAAATAGTTGTTCTACTGTATCATTTAGTGAATAATAACAAGGAAAAATGTCTGTTTATACTCAGGACAAACAATCTGTAGGCCTAACTACATAAAACATGTCAGCAACAATATAACATTTTATATCTACTGCTGGTTGAATCCACAGATGGGGAACCCACAGAGGGGCTACTATGTCTGTATATATACAATTTAAAAAGTAGGGGCCAGCAGATGACATGGTGGTTAAGGTGCCGGGCTCCCACAAGGCCAGCTGCGGTTGGAGTCCTGGACCTGCAGTTTGAAATATCATGCTGGGCATGTGTGTGTATGTGTGTGTGTGTGTGTGTGTGCATCCATCCAAAATCCCAGGAGGAGAATGGAGGATAAGAGATTGTGGTGTGGCCATTCTCCCGGGGATATGATTTTTCACTTTCCCTCTCTCTGTCTCTCTGGCAAGTGCTTGTACTTTATAGCAAAAACTAACCAACTAGATAATAGATGACCCCGAGTAAAGGATATATGGATATTCTTTGTAGTATTTTTATTTTTGTAACTTTGCTTGAAATTATTTTCAAATAAAAGAGTTTAAAGGAAAAATTTCAAGTATGTAAGAGATATTTATTTATTATTCTAAGAAATCTGATTAAAGATTTAATGCTGTCATTCTGTTAGGATAGTAAGAAATTAAATTTTTATCAGTATCAGGGATTTCGCTACCTACCCAGTCTTGATGTAGTAGTGGGGGAAATGAGTCTACAGCCCTAGTTCATCAGAGTTTCTGCTAATAATGATGAAAGTCTGACAGCTTTCTCCTTGCATACTAATTCCTGTTTATTACCTGGAAACTTGATCAAGACTATGAACCCTGAAGCCTCTGTCTAGGTTTTGTTTGTTTGTTTAGTTTTGGGGGTTATTTTTGAAATTTTTATTTTATTTTATTTTTAAGCTTGCTATAGTTATCAGAAAGAGAGAGAGGGAAAGTGAGAAAGCAAGCTGTCAGGTCTGGAACTCAAACCATGGTCAGCCATGTGGGAGTTCAGTGCCCCAACCACCATGCCACCTGCTGACCTAGCCTCTGTCTAGGTTTAACCACAGCCAAATGCCTTTTTCTCAAAGTGTTGCCACCAAGCAGAGCTCAGGGCTTCTCATCATTTTCCTATTTTAAGACTTTAAATCTTGAGGAACTATATCATTCTGCTCTGTGATTGCTCTGAAAAGAGGTATTTTCTCTTGTTTAGGAAGGTATGTGTCATAAACTCTAGTGACCTTTGAATTAGAGAGAATCAGGAAAGGCAATGTCTGCTGGGCAACTTTCTACATTTAGCCTATTACATAACACCTCTGAGGCAAAGAACTATGAAAACAACAAATAAAATGGGGGGTATCCTTGTGTGTGTGGAGGTGGGAGGATGGATACAACTTTCCAACTCATAAAATGTGTTGGAAATTGTGCTCCTGTCTTCTTCTTTTTGGATTCATTTGTGAAGAATTGGCATTAGTTCTTCTTTAAAATTTTAGTTGCCATCTGGGCTGGGGTTTTTCTTTGTGAGTAGATTTCTCTTTATAAATTTGATCTCTTCATGTGTTATAGATCTACTAAACTGACTATTTTTTCTTGAGTCAAATTTGCTAGTATGGAGGAATTTGTAGTCATTGTAGGGATTTGTCAATTTTATATAAGTTATCTAATTTGTTGGTATATATCTCTTTGCAAAATTCCTTTATAATCCTTTTTTTATTTCTGTAGGGTCAATATATTCCCTTCTTTCATTTTTAATTTTAGTAATTTGAGATTTTTCCATTTTTGGGGGGTTATCTAGCTAAAGATTAGTTAATTTTGTTGATTATTCAAAGAAATAATTTTCAGTTTTATTGA